TTATGCATTCAAAACCACAGGATTCACCCTTTAACATATTTCTGCATCCATTTATGTTTATGTTGCCTTTCCAGCACACCTGAGCAAACATCCAGTGGTGCGTTCACATGCGGAAAACTCAAGTAGAAGAGTTAATTCATTCACCAGCTTAAAGAGATAACGTTCCAGCTTGTATTGTGGCTTTTATGAACAATTTAAATAAGTTGAAATTAGAAGTAAAGTTACCAAATTAAACACAACTGACAAACATATTCATAACCTTTTAGACTGTTTTTCCTTCTCCATGCACTTTGCATTCCACTTCATTCACCAACTCACTCTGGATGGCTGGATAGTTTATTTCTTGCTCCTTCACCTTCCAGACTCTGAGCTGTAGGTGGTTCCCCTCGCAGCACCTGTCAAAACTCTTCACCAGACCTATGTTCACCTCTTCCTCTGCGTCAGTCATGCATAACACGTCAAAGCCGTCATCGGGGAACATCTGGAGGTGGCACAAACTGTTGAGGTTGTTCATGTAACGATGAAACCACTGATCCCTTGGTGGCGCCAATGTGCTTCTCTGTAACCTGATGGGATACTGGTCTGGAGGTGGACAAATCTGGACACCATGATGTTGTCCATCTGCACCAGGCTGAGCCTCTCACTGAGCAGCTGCTCACTGTCAGTGATCTCTCTCGTCCTACACTGTTCTCCTGAAAATTTTAACTTCAGTGTTTTTGTCATCCTCCTCTTCAGCTTCCTTGAGGTCAATTTAACTTCCACTTCACCTCCAGCCCTGAAAGCCTTACTTATTTTGTCTTGAATACTTGCTAATCAATAACTGGTCATATGAAAAATGTGTATATCTGATTAACAGATGCATGACGCTGCGGTCTGATGAGTGACAGCTGCTGATGTTTTCAGCACCGATACCTATAGCACCTGTTGTTTTCTCAGATCTGCTAAAAAATGGTCTTCTGTAAGTGTTTGAGTCAGTCCATCACTCCGTCATCACTCGCTCAGCCAGCAAGTCGGTCAGTCCTTCTGGCCAGTTTTGCTTCTGTGCTCAGATTTCATTCCAAATTTCTCATCTCTTCTGCAAAAAGCTGTAAAAAAAAGTCAGGTTTTCTCTAGCAGTCAGTCAACATTTGCACAATAAAATCCCCCTTTCCAAAATACCCATTAGCAGGCTGCAGATTTTTGGCACTTTGAATGCTCATTCCAGTTTGGCCTCTGCAAACCAATTCTCCCTTTACTGCACTGGGAATGTAATTAAGAAACCCCACTTTTCTCCATACAACTCCCCACAGATTAGATTCCCCCTGTTGGGCTCAGCAATCCTTTATCTCCCTCTACTCCCTCCATCCCCCTTCAGACAGGTCTTGCCCTATACTGTTTCTTTATCTACTTGTTAAGTGCTCAGTGCGCATCAGACTTTCTGGTCTATCCTGCTGGGTTCCCGGCTGCTGCTGCTGCTGCTGCTGCTGCCCTCAGGTGCAAAAACACCTTGTTAGATATACAGTGTTCGTCTCCGTCTGCTTATTATATTTTCAGTCTGACAGCTTGAACTGCAGTGCTGCAGGCCTACTGAAGTTGTGATTTCCTTACCAAGCTTTAATTTTCAGTCCCGGCTTTTCTGTTCTCTTTTCATCATTTTACCTTTTATCTTTCCCTTCTGTTTCTCCCTCTCTGTGTGTCTCTCTTTCTCTGAGGGAATTACATAAGTCTTTCTGTGTGTGTGGGCAGCGTTGCATTTTATGTAAGGCGGACCTGGAAATGGCTAGCGAAACACTAGGGTCTTGCTCTCTGTTTTTTTTTCCCTCTCCCTCTCTCTCTCTATTCGTCTTATAGCCTTGTGTGGTTGGGTCATCGGACTGCGGATCTGCGTGGTACTTGGCTACAGATATACAAAGGGGTGACTCTGCAGGCCCACGTAGAGTCACACTCGCAGTTTTTTTTTTAAAGCGCACCTTTGAATAAAAAAATATTTGATTCCTAATTTGAAGATGATGATGCTTGTAGTGCTTATGTGAAGTGTGTCTGTTTTGAAGTGAGAAATGTCTGAAGTGTGTCTTTGATAGATAAAACAGTGCTGCTTTATTCATTTGCAACTGATTGTTCGATAGGCGCTGCGGTTATTAATCAAGGCTACAACTGTAGGTAGTTAGCTATTAGCAGGGTAACATTTTGTTTCAACCATTCGTTACAAATTTGCTCTTGTATTTTTGGTTTTGAACTCTTTGTTAACCGAGTATGGCTCTAAGTAAAGCCCCTAACACAGCATTTTTGCATGTGTTGAAATCGAAAGATTGACACGTTTGCCTTGTCTAGTTACACTTGTTAAGCTATGACTAAACAATTGGTGCCATGCCATTGTTCTCACATTATTAGAACTAGTCTGAAAAATTGGGAACAAACACCCATTGCCGGCGCTGTCCATGGTGCTGACTAAATACCAGGTTGTATTTTAACCCACACCACAATCTTTTCCAAAAATGTAACCGAGTAGTTTTGCCTAAACCTTAACAAACAGCAACCTTAAATTTTTTCCCTGTCTAGGGGTGAAAAGTACATATTGCATTACATGCGTTGGCGTTATTCCAGGTTGGTATTTTCAGAGCAATGGGCCATCAGAGCAATGTGCATTTGTATTCCATTTAACGGGCTGTTGGACAAATGGGTTTTCAGTCAAATGGGAAATTTTTTGGGCTACTGGGGTTTCGGAATAATGGGCCTATGGGACAATGAGCAGTCCCCCGAAAAATTGCTCTTATCATTTGGTTTGTCAATTTATCAGTTTTTCCTCATTTTTAAACACAATCATAATGTTCTGCAGGAGTTTCTTTTAAAGTCTTAGAGCTGTCAGAACAAACCTGTGATTATTATATAACACCGACCCCCTCCTTTGATTGATATGTGCAGTACTTGATTTCTAACCCCTCTAACGCTATTTACCATTAACTGTTAATGGTCCTACAGAGTGCAGATTGGCACACGGATAACTGGTTTTCCCCGAGAGGAGGGGAGAGTTATGTAATAAGTGGCAGGAGGTGATGAAAAATGTGAAAAATTCAAATGTGTTACTGAATGAAAACAATATTCATAATGCTTCCTCTAATACCACTGAAACAGGTTGCTGCATCTGATGTCGGAGCAGCACAGTCACTGCTCAGAAATGGACTTTGGTGCTCTGATGTGAAGGAGGAAGCAACAAGAAAAAATACTGATTATTAATGGCATCACTTTATTATTTATTTTATTTTTTCACAAAAAAATAAAAAAGCTTCCTAGAAATAAAACACCTCTGCAACCCGGAACACCTTTTAAGACACTGTGTGTGCGCGTGCTAGTGTGTGTTCATGTTTTTGTGTGTAGACTGTGTGTGCGTGTTTGTGTATTTGTACGTGCACGCGCATCTCCAACTTGTCAGAGAAAAGGGTGTTTCACTGAGTGGGAATGCCTGGTAGGATGTGTAGGCCCAGGTTGCTATGGCAACCATCTGCTGCTACGCTCACAAGCGTTCGCCAGCAGCCCACACAGTGTGACATCCAGCAGCAAGCCAATCTGAGAGAGGAGAGAGAGAGAGAGAGAGAGAGAGAGAGAGAGAGAGAGAGAGAGGGAAAGTAAATCTGCGATTGAACGTTAACACTAAAGGGCCAAAAATAAGAACAGAGTTCAAACTGAATGATTGTTGTTTTGAAGGACATTTGTTTACCTTTAAGTTATAAGTTTAAACATATAATTTTTTTAGAAATACATATTGAGTGTTCTGCTGAAGACAGAAGGAGGAGAGGTGTACAGCATTCGGATCAACACACAGAAGCACACAACAACACTTTGACAGATTATAGAATGAACAGAAGGATGTAAAGCTGCTTTAAAATGTTTAAAACTTTGAAATGAAGTTTGGCGAAGGATAAATTACTTAAATCCACTTTTACTAAGCAGGTTAACCATGAAACACAACGTCCTCAGTTGCTGGGAGCCTTTGTTGCATATCTTTCCCTCTCCCTCATTACCTGTCATCTCTCCACTATAGGTATTTAATGAAAGCATAAAACAAATAAACAGAAAAGGATAATAATTAAAAAGCTGCCTAAAATCAGCATTTGTCTGCAATATGAAACGCAATGGTATTTTGAACTGAAAAAAACCCACATTACATACATTAAATCAGACATTTTTAATTGTTACTTTTTTACTTGGCAACACAAATCCGACACAAATCTGATTTGTGGTAATGCCGTCACAGTCTGATTGGATTTCATTATCGTTTATGTCTCTACGACATTATATGTCAAGCTGCAGTTCCTGTGTGAATGAAATTGCTGCAGATAATAAGACGGAGGAAAGCTGAGATGAACAGTAGATATACAGTAAGATGAAAAACTTTTTATTATTATTACCTTTATTTGACAGTATGTGTAGATAAAGACACAAGAAACATGGGAAGAGAGGGGTAACATGCAACAAAGGTCCCCCAGCTGGGAATCACCATCTACTCGTTAGGCTACCGGGGCTGCCCCTTTGCATCCTCTTATCGTTATATATATTTTAATATACAGTGTGTATTTCTTTAATTCTTTGTGAATTTGCTTGTTATACCATTGAACAAAGTAGCGTCGAACTTCCTAGCAATAAATCTGAACTGATCTCCAAAAGAAAACCTTGTACTGTGACTGTATAAGCAGTGTGTATGTTCATCTTTACGCACACAACTTTTCACTCTATAAGTACACTTGTGGAGTGTGTAGGTTTCACTTCAACTGCAGGGGTCACGGTCTGGGTTCGAAAGGAAAATCTCAAAACTCATGTATATCTGCAGTCAATTCTTGCACGTATGACAAAAGACCTTGTGGACAACTATTTAAGTCAGTGTGGACAATCCAGAGCTAATCTTCTGAATAAGAGTACGGACATTAAGAAACTAAACCTTGCATTAAAAGATAAAAAGTCCGACTATAAACTTTATTTAACTAATTTTGTGGTTGTTGTGTGATAATCTTGTACATGTGTTTCAGATGCAGGAGGTGGGCGGTACCCAGCGAGGCTCTCAGCGGGCCTTCAGCGTCCTGGATCGTCTGCTGGTCACTCATCCTGTGTGGCTGCAGCTGTCACTCAGCCAAGACTCTGCACTCTACATCCTGCTCAGAGAGCCTGTTGGGGTATGGACAAGTCAATTATTTCAATCTTATGACATTACTAATTCATAAAGTGAACTACTCGAGTCACAGATATATATATATATATATATATATATATATATGTAACAGCAACCGCCACACACTTAAATTCATTCAAGTTTGATTAAAAATCATAAAGATTTACATTGAAAGCAGATGAACAAGAGTCTGTTCTCTACATTGCTGTTTGCACCATCTGGTCTCCTGAAAAACCTGTGAAAAGAAAATATGTTTAAAAAAGAAAATAACACCCTTTATTCTTGTTCCCCGTGGTTGTGGGTGCTTACAGACCTTTTTGGTGCGTAAATGCAGCTCCAGCCAGAGGAAGGTGCTGTGTTTGAGAGTGGCAGCGGACAAAAGTGCCTCCTCTGTTAAGGAGTGCTTCATCTGTGAGGAGGACTCCAGTGAGTATAAAACAAGATATATTAGCATTATTATATATTACAGCAACACACGCTACGTTTCTCTGCTCGGCATTTGTGGTGCAGTGCAGTTCATGCACTTGCTGGCTGAAGTAGTGTGGGACAGAGAGGATGGGTCCTCCAGAGGATTTGCAGCTGCCATATTTCCTGTTAAATTTGAACAAGTGTCCCACTGCCTCCACAGCTGTCAATCAAACTCTGTCTGTTCTATAACCAGCTTTCGCCTTGGAGAGCTCTTCACTCAGCTTCCCAGACCTGTGTCGACTGGTTGCCTTCTACTGTATCAGCAGGTGATGTATTATCTTAACTGTATGGCTAACAGAATGTGCACATCCCTGTCCCTGACACTTTTGGTTGGTTGGGGCTGTTTTTTATGTTTTCTCCCTTAGTTCCAATGAAATTGTTACATGCTACAGCATACAGTATTATTTTAGACTTTAGATTGTGTGGTTTCAACTTTGTGCCAACAGTTTAGAGAAGGCCCTTCCCTGTTCCTTACAAAGTGAGGTCCGTTAAGTAATGTTTTTTCCAGTTTGCTGTGACCTCAATCCCATCCAGCACTTTTGGGATGAACTGGAACATCGACTGGGAGCCAGGTCATATTTCTCAACATCAGTGGTCAACTTCAAAAATGCTTGCAGCCAGGTTCCACAAGCTTGTATAAAGCCTTCCCAGAATAATGGAGGCTGGTGTAGTACTAAATGAATGCCCATGGTTTTGGAATGAGATGTGCTACATGATAAATGGTAAATTGACTGCATTTATATATCACCTTTTTAGTCTACTGAGCACTCAAGCACGTTATGCCACATATCAACATTTACCCACTGATGGCACAGCCTGCAGCAGAAATGTGGGGTTCAATATCTTGCCCAAGGACACTTTGACATGTGATTGATTTTTTTTTTCTCGTCTGCAGAGATGTGTTGCCCTTCCCGCTGCAGCTACCAGAGGCCATTGCTAAAGCCACAACACACAGACAGCTGGAGGCCATCTCACACATGGGACAAGGTGCAGTGATTGAAGACCTCTCATCCTCATCCAGATGAAAAGTGCTTCACTTTGTCACGTGCCTTAAATAATAATAGTTACTTTACTAAGATTAACCGATTAGCTATGTTAGCATCGTGTCTCTAATTGCAATGTGTGTTGGTTTCCACACAACTTGTGTAGATATAGAAGAGTAAAAGGTTTTATATCAAACTACAGTTACATTATTTTTTTAAATCTCTGCCTTGTAGTATTGGATACAGTGAGGATACAGTGAGGTTTCTCTGTAACGGCTTCTCTTCAGCAACGTATTGCAAATGTGAGAAAGTAAATGAATAACTGACTAAGTAGTGACTGCCAGCTTGCATCTATTTTAACATGGTAGCATGTACTGATGCAGCGTCGCAGCGGAGAGAGCGAGGTGTGACTTCAAGATGGCTAAAAATGACACAAGTAAGACACAGTATGTGTCACCGACTTCAGCTCAACTCTTTCTCACTATGGTTCTGCAAAACCAGTCTGCTCCAGTCAGCTTGCTGTAGATAAACTTACATAGTACAGTGCATATTGTATTGCTTGTTTGTGTTTGGTTTGATGAAAATAGTGTATCTTCTAATCAATGTTTTATTGAAGAAAACGCAGCAAAATGTCGTACATAGTCAAAAGGCATTTTCAGTTCTAACAATGCTTCTTCCCAACCTTAACCTGCTTACCCACCATCCCACAGTCCTCCTCTACAATAAATAAAATGACAGTATGGTAAGTAAAAAGTAAATAAAATAAAACTGTGAGATTTGATATTAAAATGAAAATAAAGATGTAAATCATAAAACAAGAAAGAAATTAGTCATTAATAACTCCAAGTTGCAATACTATAGAAAGTCCCAAACTGGAGTTAGAACATGAACACACAAGAACCGGTACACCCATAAACATGCACACATAACTCTTCAATGCAGGGCTGGGTGGTGAATATGCACTCACAAACACAATCTGTGTGGTAAATATGCACTCACACACACACTCTCCCCACTTGTTAAGCAGACTAAGAAGCCTGAAATAGAAAAATAAAGCTCCTACAAACTGTGTGAATGTGTAACTGAAAGCCCTTCTTCTTTCTGGATCTCCCACTAGACTTCTGGAGTGCACCGAGTGCTTCAGAGATCCAAAACGGGCCGATGGACTCGGTTGCGTCAACCAGCGACAGCCAGGGTCAGACGTCAATGAACCAGGACCGATGTACCCTGCTCAACCGGGGTAGACAAGGCAAACTTTGCTTCATCAACCCACTCTTCCTACAGCTGGAGGTTAGCAAGGTTAGTATAAGGTTGTGTGGTTGTTAAGTCCATTACAAGTGCTCTAAATCCATCCTCCTATATGACTGCTGATACAGCTCCTTGCACTTCACCTCACACCTTTTAAAAAATAAACTCTTTAGAGACCTGAAAGTTAGATGAAAGACTGAATCCACTATTTTCTTTCTACAGCAGCCACAACTCGTAAACCACAGTGCCTCCAATAAACGGCACCGCTTCAAACGCAGCATGCGGCTCCGGCTCTCAGAGTCCTCCATGAATCTGTCCCTGGAGGGGATCGGCTCCTACTCACCTTCCTCGTCAGGGGAGCAGCCCAGCGGGTCAGAGAGGCTGCAGAAGGCCGGCACCAACCCACAGAGAAGAGTTCACCCCGGGGCAGGGGTCCTGAGGAGAACCCCCGCTGTATCACCGGGGTCTGCAGAGGAAGAGGACATGATGTCTGTCTATGTGCCACAAGTAATGCTTGCTAGCATCTTTATTTTGTTTTTCAGACCATGCGTTCACATGCGTTCAAGCCCTCTGTTTATGTATCCACTTGGAAAAGCATTTTCTAAAACAGTGGCTCTGACAGGTCACAACACAATTAGTATTAGTATTAGTAATTCTGTATTATTGACCAGTAACCAATGCTATGTTTTTAAGTAACCCCTTTCTGTCTTGTATATATATGTGAGATTTGTTCACTATTCTCAATTACCGTGCTGTATAATTGTCACTTTTGTCCTGGTCAAGACATCTGCAAAGGTGGAGGAGCCTCCACAGCCCCAGCAGTCCGCCCGAGCGGAGGAGCCAGGCATCGAGGTGGCAGTTCTGGCCCTGGAGCGCCGCCCGGCTCCGTCCCTGGCTGAGCTCGACAGCAACAGCTCCTTCAGCAGCATGGATGAGGACAATGACTCGGATTCAGATCCAGAAAGCATGGCCCAAGCACAAACCCACTTCTACCCGCGCCCACCACTTGTGCGCTCTCGAGGCCGCGGCGGGCTGCACCGTATGAGCGAGGCATTTGTGTGTTTCTTTGCTCCGGACAAGCGGCTGACGCGACTGGTGGAGGAGCTGTCCAGAGACAGGCGCTCCACCTTTGGGGGCATGGTTCAGGACTTCCTCCTGGCACAAAGAGAGGTTCTCAAATCCCTGGCTTCCTCTTCTTCATCCTCTTCCTCGTCACGTGTGACCTCTGTGCAGCTCCTGCAGGGTCTGCGCCTCTTTCTGTCCCAGGCGAAGTGCTGCCTGCTGGACAGCGGAGAGCTGGAGCCTCCCATTGAGACCCTGGTGCCGGAGAACGAGAAAGGTAAACAAACACAAACCTGGTAAATGTGTCCGGACATAATGTTGCTCACAGCATTTACATTTGAACCACAGCATCAACTGTGTCTTTTTAAATACTGACTGATGACCTTCGAACTCCCAGGAGAAGGAACTGGCACATTGAATTTCCACTTTCCCGCACAAATTAAAGTAAATTGTCAGTTAAAGGTAACAAAGTTGGGAATGTACATACTATATGCTTGAAAGGTTTTATTATAAATAAAAGGGCTTTGTAAATAAGTTGTAAATACTGGCTTCCTCATTGTTAACACATCCTTTATTAATGCTTTATAGATAGCGTTATAGTCCATTAATGAGGACCAGTTTTAGGTTTTAATTTATGTACAATCAGTTTGACAATGCCGACAATTGACAGTGTTTTTGTAAGAAAGTGGAAATTGTGTGAGTCAGTTTCTTTTCAACAATGTTCACACGTGGGAGCTGCCAAGTACTACCAGTCTTCCACTGTTGACCACTGAGTGCCTTCAGTGGAAGATAACATAAGTCAAGGTTTTTTTAGTCATATCTTTTTTTATTTGGTCATAAATTAACAGCACTTGAAAAACTCGCTGCCATGGAGGTTTAAGTCAACCATTTTACAATCTCCTCATGCTTTGTCTTAACATCTGTCTTTTTAATTTGCCAGAATGGACAGTTTCAATGGACAGTGTATTTCTGTAGAACAGCTGCAGAGCATATGGAGCAGCTGAACTCAACTGATCTTGTTAAAAAAGAAAAAGTTATGATTTGAGACAGTATGCACCAGCCACAGGGATTTTTACAGCCCAAGCATGAGGTCCTTGAATGTCCATGTATGAATAATAAATGAATGATGTCTGATGTTGGAATTATACCTTAGTGAAAATTTACATAAATGTCTCTGCAGAACAATGCGGAGAGGGGAGCTATGAGTAAGTATAGGTCGAGAAGAGACCATATCTCTGCAACTCGTTGTGCCTCAAACAATCTGATTGGTTATACCAGCAGAACTAAACTGGACAGATTTAAATTATACCCAAAGTATAATGGTAGAACACCTTTGAATTTTCACATGTAGATGCAGAAGCTTTTAACCAGTGTTTAATCAGTGCTATAGTAAAGACCATCTTTGCTGAGTCCGAGACAAGTCCAAGACCAGGACTAGTCGAGACCGAGTCAAGGCCGAGTCCAAATGAGAGAGACAGAGAAAATAAAATAATGCTTTTGCTATTGCCAGTGAGATGAGTGAATGTCAATGCCCCTTTTAGATGGATTTTGAATTAAACCAATATCTGAACAAGTGCGCTTTATCAACAGTTTTGTTTTCAAGTAGGAAGTTACTTCAGAAAAAAACATATATTGCTGGACTAGATATTTGTCTGGGTACCAACGTCTGAGACAATAGAGTACAACAGCGCTGCACATTATTACATATATTCATTAGTTACAAGTTATTAATCTCTTATAAAGTATGCCTCATTTGAAAGTGTTTCCAATTAACATAGCCTACTTCCATTGTTGAATATACTCATAAAAGTCATTTTACAATGCTTTAATTCTTTTGATTTTATCAGCAAAGAAAGTGAATTTATTTAATTGAATTTAGCTGACTGCGCTTTGAGCTCAATTGTCTCAACCTTTTGAATATCTCGCATGCATGCATGATTAGCTTATCGCATCACAACGAGGAGGAGACGGTGGGTGCAGCAGGGGACTGGAAAAAAACCCTGTACTATTAGAAAACACTGATTCAATAGAGCACAGTGCCAGAGGACGCAGGTCTATGGAAACAGACAGCCTTTTCTGATAAATGGTGGGCTGCCCAGGCTCTAGTGAAAGGCACTGTCAACACAAAGTAGTTTGCGTGGGGGGGCCTCATTCACTAGAGCTCATATTGTCTCTTGTATTTAGAAAACAGCATTAGGAAAGCCCTGCCCGGCGCGCCTGCACTCACATCCATCGCATTCAAAGTGTGATTCTTCTGATTATTGTAAAGACATCGCAGGGTGTTACTTTGGAAGGATTCTAGTTAGATCTTTTGACACAGTCCTGTGCGTAGGTTTTCTCTTTTTTGGACTTGTGTGTGCGGCTGAGTGTGTGTTTTGCAGGTGTGCTTGTGTGTAAATGTGTGTGATGATGGATGGTTGCCTGGCAGTGCAGAGGCTTCAGGGGAGAGCGCTCGGCCGCTGCCTTCCTTCCTCCCGTCCTTCCTTCCTGCGCTCTGATTCTGATTTATCTCGCATTGCGTCGGTGGGAGGCATTTGCATTTTTTTCTCCCCCTCGTTTATCATAAAAAGATATCACAGTCCCACGCTCACTTGAAGAGCAGCACGATTCAGGGGAGGGTGGGAGGGAGGGATAGAAATAGGCAGGATACTTTGAAAATGTAATCAGTTACAGATCTGTGAGTAATAGCCAAAAAAGTCAGTTTTTTTCAGAACTAGGCAGTAACTAACGAGGCTGTAATCGCATTACATGTAATCTGTTACTCTCTATAGCTTGTAAAAAAGAGAGGGATGCTGGGAGGGGGAAGGAGAGGAAGGTGGAGAAACAGAGGATGGGGGCGTGAATGATTAATCACAAAGAGGAGTGATATAGTAAGGTAGATTTGGGGGGGCGAGATGTTGGGGGATTATACAGGACAGGAGGGATACATGAAGGATGGAGAGGAGGGAGAGGAGGATATTGACGATGAGTGGAAAACAGTGTGCGCTGGAGAATTGTTACCCACTTAGTCAGGACTGCCCACTGACTGCAGGAGACTCACTGAGAGTGTGTGTTTCCACGTGTGAGAGCATGCATGCATGTGTAATATGTCCACGAGTTTGTGTAATACATACCGCTGTTGTCAGGCCAAAAAATAACAGTATCTCCAGAATGTTAGCTTTTCAGGCACTAAGATAAATAGCCTTGGGTTAGCTTGATGATTTTAAGTGAGAAGTTAAAAAATACAGTTGTTTTTTTTTACGAGAGTTATATTATTGGTACCACTCTAATATCTGTGTGTTAAGTCAAGAGCGAGGAGGCGATTAGTTTATTAGCATATACATACTGCCATCCTGGCTCTGTCCAAATGTACATGCACCAGCACCTCTAAAGATTTAATAATAATGTTGTTTTAATGCATTCACCAACCGAAATGTAAAAAAAACTACTAGTACTTTTACTGTAATCATTTCTTGGCAAAGTACAATAACCTATGCTAACACTTCACTTCAATCCTTCATGCATTGTTGATCAATAACAAAGGTTGAGGCATTTGGGATGTACTTGTGCCGGTTGTGATCACCTATAATTAATCCCACCTGTGCATATTGATTGGAAATTGCCAGAATGCTGAGGAAAGGCATCTTGCCCGAAATGTCCTTGTGCCAATATTAAAAAGTCAAATTGCTCTCCTAGTCTTTCTTTTTATGTTTTAGTTTTGTTAAGCTACATTTTGGATTAAGCACCCAGTATTTAAGGTCTTATTGAATACGCTGTGTCTTGTTTCTTTTGACCAATAGCAAACCACCTTGACAGTGCTGACCTTTGAGGGAGCCAAGAGTCCCACAGAAGAAGCCATCATAGCCTATTAGCTGTGTTTCACATCACATTGCCACAAAACAGGCATGACATACAAATATGTCTCTTGAATAAACTTACCAAGTGAACTGACAGCTCGCTTACTTTTTCTTGACTTAACAGGAGGTGGACAAAAGAAAAGCCCATACAATCTGATGCAATTCAATTCCTGTGTTTATATACTGTATGATCTGTGTTTTGTCAGTTGGTAAAAATGGTAATAACACAATCATATTATATATATATAACAATAGAGGTCCCCTGTACAACAGACTGATTTTACTGGGTGCTCCTCAAATGCAGCAAATTCCTCAGCTCTAGACCAACTTAAAACTCCTTGGTATTTATTTATTTATTTATACAAGTAGAAAATCAATTCCACTTTATATTTCTGATACACAGTATTAGGCAGTATTAGGTATTCACCCTAATACTGCCATTGTAATCATCGCATACCTTTCTGGGCCTCCTGCCAGTGCCTCTAGATATGTAGACACATTTCTGCTTGCAAATGATAAAATAAACAAAACACACAAGCAATTATATCTACAAAAAAAGAGTAATACACAACATTTTCAGTTCCAGTCTCCCGAACAATGAACCCCTCCCTCTGTCCTCAGACCTGGCACTGGAGCGGGCCATGTTCTCCTGTGTGCTCAGGCCTCTGAGGTCCCACCTTGACAAAGCTCTGGTTGAGCTGCACAATCAGGACGGCAGCAGCCAGCGTCTCATCCAAAACCTGCTCCGTCTTAAGGGGGACGCCGCCATGGAGTGGCTAGGCGTGCGGACGGGCGTCCCTGACAGCCGTGAGGTGGAGAGAGTGAAGCAGAAGCTGGTGCTGATGCAGAGGACACACTCGCCCATTGACAAGGTGCTGCTGCTGCTGCAAGTGTGCAAGTGCGTCTACAAGGCCATGGGGTCCTTACACGGTGAGACAAAATATATTGTTATTTTATTGGATTTTAGGGCTCTAATTTGACTTTAAAAACAAAAACAGCTTTATTAGTAGTAGTCCTTATTTAAAAACTACACTGAAGTCCTTGCATTCACAGAGGGAGATGGTCACTAAAATGGAAATTTGCTGTAACATACTGTATTTGCTGCTTGAAAGCTTTCTGTAAGAGGATTGAAGGTCAACAATCATTGCAAAGGCGAGTGCCTTGTCACTTTGGAAAAGCTCTACACTTCAGACATACAGTATCTGTGTGAGCTGTAGCACGACCTGTCTGCTTTTCATCACGACCTGCTGCCGCTTCTAGTACCAGGAAATTAATGCATCATCATGTCAATACTGTTGAATGTTGGGTATAATTTTGGAATTGCTGCAGAGTTACTTATTTAATATTTTTACTAAGCTGACATTTGCAAGTGTTATTAGGTAGGTAACTGAACTTATGCTCTTGTATGTCTGTCATGAAAGTCACGAAACCACCAACACAGTTGGTTTCATGACTTTTCTTTAAAACCCAGAGTGAAACACAGATTTGGTCCAACTCTTTTCTCAATTTTTATCCATATGATATATATAAATAATAATACCATGAAATCTCAGATGACAGCTTTCCTTTATACTGTCCTGTTATTGTCTTTCCAGGACAGGAAGTGAGCTGGGATGACTTCCTGCCGTCGTTGTCTTACGTGATTGTGGAGTGTAACAGGCCTCATATCCTGATAGAGGTGGAATACATGATGGAGCTGCTGGAGCCTTCCTGGCTCGGAGGAGAGGGTACGACCTAAAATCGAATTATGTTACCTGTAGCCTCAAAATGTCTGCTGTTCAGGAGCTGTGCTTTGTTAAACCAATAACAGATCATTTTGTCTGTTTGTGGAAAACAAAGGATTACCATACCTACCGTATAATTACAGATAATTATTCACTCATATTCTTTATACATAAGGGACACATCATAATTTTACAAAACCCAGGTAGACATGTTTAAAGGTGCAGCCTGTAGGATTTAGTGGCATCTAGCAGTGAAGTTGCATATTGCAACCATCTGAATACAGCTCAGCCTTTCAAGCTTGTAGGAGAAACTATGGTGGTCGCAAATCTTGCAAAAGGCCCTGTCTAGAGCCAGTGGTTGGTTTGTCTATTCTTGGCAGCTGTAGAAATATAGCGGTTCAACATAGTGGACCCGCTCCCTCTGTAGATAAAAACATCTCATTCTGAGGTACAAAAACACATTGATTCTTATTTTCAGGTAATTATGCACTAATGTCAACATACCTATGAATATTATATTACATTTTTGACAATAGAGCCTGTTAAACGTTACACACTGGAACATTTCCAACTGAAGACTAAGAAAACAAGCAACAATTTACCATTAAAAACAACAACCAGTGAAGTGAAATAAAGTTAAACTAGCTAATTATTTTAGCTCTAAATGTTAATTACTTTTGACTAAGTAGATTTTGGTCTTTACATCTTTTAATAACTTAAATTAAATTAATATAAATTAATAATTTCCTCACTTTTATGCTCTTACTTGTAGAAAATAAGAGATGCCAGAGTATATTACACTGTAAAACCAGATAAGTTCGTTCAAGTAAAAAAAAAATAATCTTGATCAAGTAGCTTTGGTAATTGTATGTGACACTGACTTAATTTTGTACTATGAAAACAAAAAAACAGTTCTCTGTAACTTACAAAGTTAATGTCAATTAAATTACTAGTAAAAGCTACTTTCAAGAATCTTTTTGAGCTTGAAATTTTTTGTTTGTGTTACTTAAAATGTTCGGTGTAATCCGTTTTAACAATTTTCTTGGGTTAATGGTTTTACAGTGTATTACATTAGTTACTACTACTACTACTACTTGTAGTATTCGTTACCAGTACCTGCTCATAAATTACTAGATCCTTTTAAAAATGTTTACTTTTAATATTTGTAGCTACTAGAAGCTACGTAGTATGTGTGGCAAGATTTAATGAGATCTTTACCATTAGCATCTTTGTGAAGAATCTATGCTTTTTGTTTGTTTGTTTGTTTGTTTGTTTGTTTGTTTGTTTGTTTGTTATCTGGTTCCAGGTGGGTACTACCTGACCAGTGTGTATGCCAGCCTGTGCCTGATCCAGAGCCTGGACAGGGAGCAGCCGTTCCCAGGCTGCCTGACGCCGGAGGCCCAAGAGGCGCTGAAGGAGTGGAGCTGCAGACGGAGCCGAGAGGCCCAGAGACAGAAGGAGAACCAGCAGAGCCAGGTAGGTTCCAGATGTTTTCATTGTAGTAGTACAACACAGAAAGACTGGTTGTGTTACAGTATGTGTGGGTTTGTACAGTGATCTACGTTATAGCCATCACACATAGCTGCTGTGTGTGAAATTTTCTGATTGATGTGCAGACAATAAGAACTCCTACTAATTATGCAGTCAAACAATTCTATGGGATGTCCTCTACTGTACCATGTGAATGGTAAATTTAAGAAATTGAACTTTTCTTATGTTAGAATAAAGTATTTTTTAAGATTCTGGCAGTTTCATGGTTTATCATGGTACTTAATTAACTTTATATAGGTTTAAAGTGGTTTATTCTACTGTCAAGAGCACATAAAATATAAAAACATTTTAATATTATCATGTATGTACTGAAGGTTTGATTACTTTAGGGTTTTCTTGGCCCCACAAAATGATAGGAATCACAGTGTATGGAAATTAAAACTAGTGAAATTAGTGTATGGAAATTAAAACCAGTATAGTGGTGCATCTTGTATATCGCCCAGTACTACTCCACGTTGAACATAAAAGGCATGCCTAAAAAAATAAATGAAGGCACGTTGAATGTAATGGAAGGCATGTTATGCTATCGTGCTGTTGACAAAGTACCAAAATCACATATTTGTGGATAAAAAAGAAATTATCTTACACACAATAATAACAGAAACGTTCAAAAGTCAAAATAGAAATAGACATAAACAGAAGATTACTGTAAGGCTTTAGAAAAATCTTCCCTCTCTAGAAATTTCAAGTTTCTCTATAGCCAGAAATGACAAAAATCCATCCACCCGACTTTAATGGCTTGATCTATTAATGGATTTCCATGGCAGAACAATTTTATGTTTCGCTTGAAGTAAATAAAATATAACCCTCTCCAAATTTGTATTGTAAAATTTACAGTTTATTGGGATGCTTCTGAAAAGTCACAGTTTATTGCGTAGTGGAAGTTCCTCTTTTGCAGTAGACCAAGTTGTTATCATTTCCTTCCAATACTGTTGTATGGTTGGGCATTCCCAAAGGCAATGGAACAAGCTGCCTTTGAGTAAAACCGGAGTGCCTCGTCTCATTATCCATTTGTACTGAAACAATTTGAACCGACTGTTTATAGTGTGGAGTTGAGATTGTGACTTTGGATAACTATTGGTGCTTATTAGAACATTTGAAGAGAGGAAACATAGTCACATGGTAAGTGATGCTGGAGTGCCCAGAATTGCTTTCAGTTGGATGAATGTGGTTTAAAGGCTCTAAAATACAACCGCCGATAATGAAATGCGATTGTTGCAGCCAATTCTGATGTGAGTTGTTGTGGTGAGTGTAAATATAACTGTTGCTATGGGACCTGCTCATCTGAGAGTATAGGCAGGTAATCACAGTCACGTATCTTACAGAGGGAAGTCACAGGAGAACAACTGGAGGGACGCGTACGAGAGGGTCTTTGCTGGTCTTTGTCTTGTAGTATTTTTTATTTGTTTGTTTTCTTTCGCATTTATGAAATTTATTTTAAATCAGTATATAAATAAAGTATTACATTTTCAGACAGACTTCACTTTCGTACCACTTCGCATTGAAGATGCCTTCAAATTTCTTCAAGTGGCATTTTTTTGTTGTTTAATTGTGTCTACTGTGATAGACAACAGAGGTTCCCTCTTTATTCCAGATGTTGCACAGGTTATAAAATATCTGAACTGACCAAATTGTGTGTCTCTAACTACTTGCTCTAAGTTGTTTTTTCTTTGGATCCCCATTAATTGGTACCTTGGCAACAACTATTGGGGTCCTGGGGTTGTTGCATGCTTGCTTTGGGTGGAGGTTAGGTCAGCATTGGTTGGCACTTTGATAATATAGTGTCCAGGATTTAAATCTCTCACCTTCTGATGGACCAATTGAAGCTGGACTGTGGACAAATATAATCTGAAGTTGTCGTTTTAGCTAGTTAGCAACTAGTCAAAACTGTAATCTGGGAAATTTGGTCTAGAAATGTGTGATGCGTCTTCCTACAGCTTGGATTTTCTAATGTTCCTGGCTTTAGAATACTTGTCTGTTACTGACAACCTACCTGATATCCTGGACTTCAGTTTATATTAAGGCAGTTTCAAACAGGGGCGCCTGGATAGCTCACCTGGTAGAGCTGGCCTTACTAACTCTGACTTGTGGCTCTTTTGCTATCATTCCCCTTCTCTCTCTCCCCCCGTTGCTGTCACTCTTCAGTTGTCACTATTGATTAAAGGCAATAAAAGCCCTCACAAAAAATATTCAAAGAGTTTCAAACAGCCAACAAGAATCATCGGCTAACTGTTTCCAAATTCCTCGATTCAAACTTCAATCTGTTTTATGTCTTTCAAATGGCACAAAAGACACAAACAACAAACAAGGCGATAATCCATCTAAAGAGCTCAGACTTTACATTAATTTTACTGATGGCGATGCACGCTGAGCAACATCAGATTATCCTACATCTGTGACAATGGCAGGTGTGGTAGAACGCAACCCATATTTGATTAAAATTTGACCTCCGGTGTTACTGCTGCTGTTGGGGACGTTGAAGAGAGCGCTCGATTTTTCTAAAGGTCATGCTAAAGGTTAGGATTTTCAGTAGGTCATCCATTGAAATTCAGACAGCACACCTGGATTTCCCACCTTTGCGTGCAAACACGTTTTCAAATTCATTTGAGGGGATTAGTTTTTAGACATTTTTAGAGGTAATCCGCTGATCTGGGGCCACCAGCTTACGACAGGGTATGCACTAGTGCACACACACACACACTTTTACCCACACTCTCCTATTATCATTCTCCTGGCCCCAGATTGGTATAACGGTCCACCAGATGCCATGGAAAAAGGCATTGTCATCCACAACGTTTCTGTCTCGTCACGTGGTGCCTCTCTTGGCTTCAAATAGCCGATCTAACTCACCCGGCAGCCAGATTTTCCACTGACACAGGCGGGGATCAGTGAGCCAAGTGCTATGAAGAAGTGGGCGGTCAGATAACATGAAATTTATTGAGCTGCATCTACCCATCGAAGCAGGCAAACACAATATGCACACGGACAGCGAGGAGCTCAGTGACTCTGTAAGTTTTGATGATGGCAGACCTGTTGATTGTAATTGCTGGTGTGTGTCTTTCTTTTCTTTTTTTTAGAGCGTATTTGGCCACTTGTGCATCTGTATGTATGTTTGTGTGTGTTGGGAGGGAGGGGGGTGGGGGGGTGGGGGGGTAGTTGTGTGTACAGGTAGGATGTGTGATGTGTGATGTGTGTGTGGCAGAGAGGGGGATTCTCACTGGTTTCTCAAGGTTGGATGTTTGGTTAAATGATTATGTTCAGTATGTTTTCAATGTGTATGTGTGTGTGTGTTTTAGAGAGAGTTGTGAGGGCGTCTGTAGGTGGTTGAATCTGACATTATATAATAGCTTAGGTACAGCACAATTGCTGGTAAGTGTTTGAAGAGTGGCAATTGTTGAGATAGACTCGTTAGTTGTGTGTTTGATTGCTTTCTGTTCTTTTGAAAATGGCAAAAAGTTTCTGTTTGGATTGAAGTGCAGAGGGAAAACTTCACCAGAACCCCAAGGTAGAGCGAGCTTAATGGATTATATTTGATCAGTTTGGACGTGGACGTTCCCTAGTGGATTAATTCTGGGAGTTTGTCAATGAAGCTGTAACATGCAACAGAGAAAAGAGCAATTTTCACGAAGATGGTTTTCATATAAAGCTCTTGGATCAGCTGGTTGTGTGTGTGGGAAGTAGAAGCTTTGTTTCACAGAGAATTTCTTTTATCAACATCAGTTTGGCTCATTTATTGTAGTGGATTATAAGCTTGTGTGTTTGCACGGCTCTCACTCCTCCTCTGGCTCCCTCTCTCTCCTCCCCCTCTTTTGCCCTCACTCCATAAGCCTCTTGACCTCTGTTTTGCATGAATACAGTATATAGTCACTCTTTTTTCCCCCTCTTTCTCTCTTCTCCTCCCTCCCTCCCTCCCTCTCTAGAGGTGCGTTCGGATATTGTTCCAGGACGGGGAGCGGAGCGCCGTGCGGACGTTGCAGTGGAGAGCCGGGGAGACCAGCCAGGCCCTGGCGGAGCTGTGCGCCGCCACCTTCGGAGTGTCTGACCCGCAGCAATACACCCTGTACTGGCGCAGCGGCGGCGAGATGAGGGCCCTGCCGCCTCAGGCCCAGCCCCAGGACCTGGCCAGCCACAGTGAGGGAGGCCCCTCGCTCTCCTACCTGAGGACCGACCACGACTTCAGCAAGATGCGGCGGCTCACCAGAGGTGGCGCCGTGGACCTGAGCGAGTCGGTGTGTGAGGAGTGAGTGGGAGGGAAGGGGGGGGAGGAGGAGGAGGAGGAGGAGGAGGAGATGGATGGTTGCTCTCGCTTTCTCTCTCTTTCTCTCTCTTGTTCTGTCTCTTTCTCTCCGGCGGTGTGTTGTGTCTCGTCGTGGGTCAGGACTTGTTGTGAAAAACTACAGCCCTTCTCCAGACCAGGAGCAGACCTTAAACGGTAAACTCTTCCCTAAATGGACCAACATGCAGTGCACAGCAGGACCAACATAGGGACTGTTACCAAAAGTTGTACTATGTACCACTCAGTGTGGCTGCTGGTGTAAAGGAGTGTACTATTTGTGACATGGAAAATGTGTAATAAATGGATTTGGTTGTTATTTGAAACATGAACCCAGAGTTATACCATGAAGGGATTACATCATTAAAACGTGAGGAGGCTCAAATCCAAAGACAAATTCTGTGAGGCTACTGTTGCCTGGAAACAAAATCACTTCCTGTACGCACACGAGAAGGCAAGTTGTCCACCGTGGTGATGTAACCCTTTCACAGTATAGTTCTGGGCAAATCTAAAAGACACTTGGATGTTTTATTACTTCACTTTTATGTGTAAAAGTCTGCAGATCTTCGAATGGAACCATGTTGTTAAAGGGTTTGGGGATGCAAACCTTTCTGTGCCCCCCTGGAATACAGTTTGACAAAAAGGTGAGATGTGTTATAGCCAAGACCAAACCTCAATACCAAAGTGACAAAAAAAGAATAAAGATAAAGAGAGGCCATTTTGTGATACAACAGGTGTTTACTCTGAAAGAAATCAGGTTTACAAGCTCGAAGGAAGCTTTAAATCAGCTGTTTATTTTTAGAATCACCCACAGAGACAATTTTTATTTTTGCTTTTTGAGAAAAAGCGCAGACTCTCCTCCTTGCTTGTGTATTCTATTAAGTGTTTTTGGCAGGTGGAGTAATGAGCGAGTAGGAGGGAAGTGATAGAAAAGCATCAGCTCTCTGTTTTTAAAACCATGTGAGAAAAAAAAACCCTAACACATCACATCGACACACCGAGACAACCTGCAACAGATTTACTGAATGACTTGCGAATGTATTAAAATCTTTTTTGCGTGTCAAAGTTTAATCCTTTTACAACTGCAGTCATTTCACGTTTCAATCCACTGCTTTTGAGTTCTACTGTTTCTCTTGGCCGTACTGTAAAATACCACTGCGTTACAACCTGGACTGACAGGACAGTCAGACCAATAAACCAGGACCTCACGGTGACTGGTCGAATGTAAATGTAAAAGTCACCAGCTTCTGGTGACCCCTGCTGCAAGTCATCACTATCAACTGACTGTTCAACTCAGTGTCATGATCGATTATCATATTGTGTATTTAAAACTAACTTTTAATTGTTCAATTTGTTGGGTAGATATCAAACCTAAGTATGGATTTTCAACATATCTGGAGTTTTTAATCAGCTGAGGAGGTTCATTTTGAGAACTATGATGTGCTTTGAACATTATTGCATGCTTTTTCATTTAACGTGAAGGTTCTGCGAATGTGGTGTGTGTGTGCGTGAAGCATGTGTTCATTGTGAGAGCTCACTATTTCTTTTCAGTGTAAAAACACATTACTGTATTTTGTCAGGTAACTCAGTATCGCAATAAAAAATTGCAATATCTGTTCACAGTGTTGTTACATCCAGATTTGTGTTGTAGTGGGATGTTGTGATTTGATGTCTTAAACAAATATAACCACCAGAGGGCAGCAAATTACACCATTTAACGCCTGACTTTAAACTACCAGCACCCTCAAAGGGGTCGTTTATTCAGTGTTTATGGTTTCTAATGTTGATGTCTTAAAGGATTTGATATTTTTGATTTAAAACAGATCTTAGAAAGATGACACAGTGAAAAATGCCCATACATTTGACAAATGAAATATTAGGAATGATTTTGATAGACAAAAAATATAAAACTACAATGTTCCTGAAGTCTTGTTTGACAGGTTTAACATTTTAAACATTTCACATTTTCTACATCAGTCAGTTATTAACATAACTTTCTTATAATTACCAGTAGCCTTTACAAATAACCAGGGCACAATATGGGTTTAAATATGGGCTTGACATGTTTAATCCAAATGTTACACTAGAACCTTGTGAGCTTTGCATCAGTTTGAATCAAGACCCAGTTTAAATGACAATGTAAAATATATATAAAAGAGGCTATGAATGTTTCAGGTATCTATATACTGTATCGGTTCAGTGTGGCCCAAATATATTTATGGTAAAATAATGCAAAATACATTTCTTCCTCAAATGCCTCTCCTCTCTTTCCACGGCTCGTTCATTAGCCTGAAGTGCTGCTCAGTTTATTGTCAGTTTTTGTAACAAGTGGATACCTGAGACTTCTATTGTGTTGTCTGTCCTGATATTGTTTCTCTGTTATGAAAATTCACCTTAGCAGGGATTAAGGCTACAACCAACAATTATTGCAATGAATTGTTTAGTCTATAAAGTGTCAGAAAATAGTGAAAGAAAATGCCCATTAATGTTCTATCACTATAGCAGGAATGAAGGAGTGCTATGTTTTAATCCATGCCAGTCTGAGAGGTGAGAAGTTGATATAAAAATGTAAATGTTTGGAGTAACGTTGTTTTCCTTTATACATTTTATTTTTATCTGATTTCACCTCCCAGCTTTTGCAGTACTCCCAGGCCTTTTTCCTCATACTCTGCTCTGCTCAGCCAGAAGGAGTCCTTGTCTTTCATGATGTTGGCCAGCACCGCGCCGCCCATGAAAACCATGTGTTTACGCCTGGGAGGGTCCTCGATGCGGATCTTAAACTTCTACACAGACGAAGAAAAAGGAGAGAAGAGGTCATTAAGACACAGTGCTCTACCTGTACATGTACATACATCCCCTCTTTTATGCTCTGTGTCTAAAACTGTTGTTACAACGGCAGTAGAAAATCTTAATAATAATCATATTTTCAATATTATAATTATAATAACATTGGATTTACAATAACAAAAAGTAAAAACTGTAATAATTCACAATATAATAATCCAAATTTAGTCTTTTCTGGTTCTCCATTCAAAAAGGAAACTGGCAGTTCACTCTTGCCTTTGGAAACAACAGTAACAAAACCATTTAAGCTCAAGATCCACTGACATTCACTCTAACCCTTCATCCTAATGAACATTTGATACAGCTGAAAGCTCCAAAAGCTGAGAATGTCTTGTCAACTGCTGTTTCCAAGGTCATGAACTAACTGTCAAGATTAACTTTTAAGGCAACATTAAAGGAAAATCCTAAAAGTGCTCAGAATAATAGTAAGTGTGAAAATCAACAGTTTTCATAAAACTGAGCAAACTCCATCCACTGATGAAGCCTGTATTCATATGGTTGAAAGCTCCGGAACAAGATTATTTGACACTTGCAATTATTATTATGACAAAAAGTAAAAAAAAAAGCTATTATATCAGTGCCATGTAACATTTAATAAATGAATGGAAAGTGCATCATGTTAACATTGAGGCTTATGCTACAGATTATGTTGTTGTTCCCTTTATGGATTATGATTTATGCAAAAGTATTAAAGAGAATCAATGGTTGTATAACACCTGTACTGCTGTTTTCACACTTCAGTAAAGCTGAAATTTTGTGGATATTTAAGTTCTTACTGATAGTTTCTTAGTGTCTCCGTCCAGCACCCTCTCCAGGTAGAGCTGCTTGATCTCCCGTTCTAGTCTGGATGGAAGTCCGGGGTACATGGTGGTCCCTCCTGACAGAACAATGTGCTTATAGAAGTCTGCCCTGCACAGGAAAACAGATGGTAGATTGGAAAAAATACATGCTTTATTTGTCTGCATCCCTTATATGCGAGATAAAATGTACTGTGCCTTTTATTTTTATGTTAATACAGCAGCTGTAGGGCATTAGTAAAGACAGCAGTGAGGAAACCTGAGGTCAATGTCTGCAGCCTGGATGGTGTTAAACAGCAGCTCAGCCACTCCTGCTCCCTCCACGTTGATGAGATGGGGCTGGAAGAGAGCTTCAGGGGCCCCAAACCTCTCTCCACCCACATTCACCTGCCGGCCATCAGGGAGCTGCAGTGGAGAAAGGAAACCATAAGAAAAAGCTACTTTTATTTATCTAATTTTCTGTGATTTTGTTCTTCAACGTACCGTAAACGACTCCACCAAGTAGGTGGTCTCTGTGGCCAGGCGCTGCTCCTGGTCGATGTTGTATCCCACATAGCAGAGCTTCTCCTTCAACATACGCACAGTCTCAAAGTCGGCCGTGTGGTTGAAGGCGTAACCGCGGAGAAGCAGGAGCTGATGGCAGAGAGGTAAAAGGTAACTTTATATATGATGTTTGATTTTTTTTTAGTGTCCCAAACACTGAACTGAGCGTCTCCATGGCTCACCTTAATGAGGTAGCGTGTGATGTCACGTCCTGCAATGTCCAGCCTGCGTGTGAGGTGGGGTAAAGAAAAGCCCTCATACACCGGACAGATGTGGGTGACACCATCCCCAGAGTCGACGACCACGCCGGTCAGCAAACCTGTAGACGGGATCAATTCCCAAAAGAGGAAGGTCAGACTGAAAGGAAAAGTTGGAAATTTGATTTCTTGTGTCTTTAAGCACTGAAACCCAGTAGTTGGACATATTAATTTACTTAACTTTATAAAGTCTTACCCTGAGCATACAGAGTGAGCACAGCCTGAATTGCCACGTAAATGCCGTGGAACTGGTACTTCTCAAACATGACCTCTGCGATCTTCTCCCTGTTCTTGGTGGGGTTCATGGGCGGCTCAGTCAGGAGGATCTTAAAGAAGTAAATACAAAAGTGAGGATAATAATACATTAATAATGAAGGAATAAAGAACATACAGATCTCTGTTTTAGTATTTTATCAATTTGTTTTTGTTACTTCATGTGATGTTACAATCATTTCATATGTCACTGAGCTTTATTTTGAAGGGTAAACACTTAACATAACAGGTGCTCACAACATTTAGCCTCCTGCAACTTGCCTCTTTATATGTGCACTGAACAAAATACAAACCCATACAGCACAACATCTGCCCAGCTGTGTTCTACCTTGCACTCTGATGGGTCGATGTTCAGGCGCTCTGGCCCGAAGGTGTAGTCCCACAGGTGGAGCATGTCCTCCCAGCTGCGCACCATGCCGTTCTCCATGGGGTAGGACACCTCCAGCATGGAGCGACATTCGCTGGCCTCGTCACCCACCATCAGGTCCTGGCGGGTGAGAACAGGAGGAGATCAGCATTAGTAGAGGCCGACTTTAAAGGGATGAGAGCTGACCTTTCTGTCAAGTGTCTGTCGGTTTATGTTATGAATAAATACAGGATAAGGACTGGAAGGGGTTTTTCTAGTGGAAAGGGGGGAGCATGCCCTTTCTCTATTTTATCTTTTTTTTCAACAGTGTTTTTGAGTGAAGTGTCTTAAAATGTTTGCTTTTTTGCATATAATAAAGATAACATAATGCAATGTGGCAAACAATCAGAAAGGATGAGGACTGGGTGTTGTTTCTAAAATGTCAATACTGCCAATATGATACCTAGAATAATCCTTATTGTTATATCATTTTGACACAGATACCAATACTTTTTACAATACCATAGTGGAATATATACATCAGTGTTTATTATTGTCTTAGTACAAGATCTTTGTCAACTGGTAATATATTATTAGAACTTTTAATAGACACATTTAAAAAATGGAGGGTGTATTTTACAAGAGAGAAAGACAATTATCTTGGGAGGCTTGGTGTCTTTACAATGTTGGTAACAATACCTTCACGATTAGTTTTTTTGTGGCTGTGCCCACTGCACTGCAGTGAGGATTACACGGGTAAAGGTCAGAAAGATCTGTGCGACCTCAGGTTACGTGAGCATATGAACTTAACTGTGTCTTAGGAAGCTAACGAGGGTACAGCTCTAAGACAGTTTGATACTATGAGCTGAGGGGTAAGAAGCGCTGAAGGGGAAGAGGTAGGTCAGGTGTTTAATGAGCTGAAGTCTTACAGTGTGTGTCTAGACTTCATTCCCTTTTCTTTAAATAGAAAACATCTACATACAGACAGCGGTAGAAGAAGTATTCAGTTTAACAGTAAAATTTACTCGAAGTATCTGAAGTAAAATTCATTCTGCAGTAAAATGGTCTCTGTCAGTGTTTTACTATTATATTTGATGTTTTTGGATGACTGGTGCATTAAGGTTGGGCACAGCTTAACTACTTTATATACTGTTGTGTATGTTAATCTACAGTAAAGCATCATATTCTATAAGATTATCATATATTAGTGTAGCTGTCCTGTGAGAACCACGTATCTCTAACAAGTCAACTTTTCATGAGCTCAGAAAAACAGCCTGTCTTCAGCTTTGTGATGATACATTTTCTTTTACATTTTAAAGTAGTTTATTGAGCTTAATAAGTAGGAGAATTTTCTCAACCCATGAAGTAACACTTCATCCATCAGTTTATCAAAAATCTAAAAATTTTAAATCATCAAATTTGGAGATATAGGCCTATATAGTTTTCATTGGCTAAATTATAATCTATATACTAACTCAAGCTATCAGACAAATGAATTGGAGTAAAAGTACCATATTTGCCTTTGAGATGTCGAGGAGTAGAAGTATAAAGTTGCCTAAAGTGCAAATACTCAAGTAAAGTTCAAGTACCTTGAATTTGTACTTAATACAGTAACTAGTTACATTCCAGCTCTGCACATAGATACAGTTTTTTTCATAAGAGGAAGTGGGAAAGTTGGTGACTCTGTAAGTAAATCCAGGTTTTATTGACACATAGTTTCACCCCTTTTGTTATCCATGTTACTGTCATTTATCTCAAGCCAAACCACAGCAGACTGGATGGGAAAATATGCATGAAAATTCTTCTTTTCATGTTTTATTGTATTGAATTGTTGACCACAACCTGTCGGGCTGGTTTCAGCTGCCAGTTTCAGAACAAAAAGAACAACGAGCAGGTTGTCTTTTAATTCTGAACCTCACCTTTATCTCAATGTTGCCCACTTTGGTGTTCGATCTTATGATTGGTCGACCCACCATGGCGGGGAAGATGTGATCAGGGAAGTTGGATCCAGCAAAGCCACACTTGACAAACTGTAGAGGGATATGAGAATGAAACATACAGAGACATTTATTTTTGTGTGTGTGAAAATTAAATTCTCATTTTTGTATGTTGACTGAAACTGAAAGTTTGTTCCTTCAGCCCCTAAATCATTGCTGTACATTAACTACCCTATGAATAATTTCCATTCATAAATCAGTTAATCATAAATTCCGTTTAATCTGGCATGAGGCTTAATCTACATCCAGGAAACTGTGTCACAGTTATTATAATTATTATTGTAAAACATTTACCAGATTTTCTAATTTTTAATCAGACAATGCAATTGCAATTTAATTCCAATTCTAAAAGAATGTGAAATAATTAATTTGGCAAGCATGGGGAGATTAAATACGTTGCTACACTGCCTTTATATGGCCTGCAATTCACTGCAGACTATCTGCTTCTCTGCCTGTCATGACTACACCTCATACTGTAGTGCCTCAACTTGTCTCTGTGGCCATAGACACATTCCTTAGCCTGGAGGGGTGCAAACACATTCCAGGCAAAAATAGGATAGAACCAGTTTGTGCCTGGACATCAACATTTAAATGACACAATACAATATTATTTTAGCACAACTCAGATCTACTCTTCCTGCTTTTCATCCAATTGGTGCTCAGTTTAAGGCATCACAACCATTTATGGCAGTGTGTGAGTGTGTGTGCACATTAGAGGCAGAGTGACATGTCCAGACAGATATGGAATCAGGCTGCAGTATGCACACAGATTCACACCCTACAGATGTTAATCACTACACGATCCAGAAGCAAACTTATACCCCCTTAAAATAAAAACACAGATGTTTGCATCCAAAACTCTTGAAGATAAACTGTCTGAATACAAGCTAAAATGCTAGAAAATAAGAAAGAAAACATAAGAAGCAATACGCAGTGCTGTTAATAGGCTGTCAAGCTCCTGTGTGTTACAATAAAGACACCTTAGACTATGACTTACCCCTGTCCCATTGTCACAGACCACCACTTTTCTACCCTCGCTGTCCATGCCTAACCAAATACTACAACAACTCAAGATACTCCCTCCTGTCAGGACAGGGGTCTGACTAACAAATAACCAATTCTCATGAATTCAGCAGTGACTACAACGGACAGGTAAGCAGAAGTCTTCTTCCTTTAAGGGTGGGCGGGAACACTGAATGTGAGGACGCCCATTTTCTGTGGCTAGGGAGGAGGGAAGACCCACACTACTACTTTTTTTAGGGAAACAGGTAGTGTTCTTTTGAATGAGGCATATACAAATAATCTTTAAAGTTGACATTCCTTAGAATATTTGGTCATTTATTATGTGAATGTCCCTAATCTGCATACTTCTGGGGTGACATTTCTCCAATTATATTCCCTGCTTTCTCCAGGCAGTTAAAACTTAAAGGTGCTGTATACAAATTTCTGTCTACATGTCACAATAGAGCACCAAATGACCAAGACAACAACTGTTTTACCTCCCAGATCATAAAACACGTTTCAAACTCGACTGAAACAAAATAAAACTTTGTTTTTGTAAGTCTTTCCACTGAAATAAATCTATAACTCACAGAGGTAGAAAAAAAAATACTGCTATACTTTGATACAAGCTTCAAAAACATTCACATAAACATAAAATCACATGAATTTATTTTTATATTCTTTAATTTTTATGTAATGCAATTTTAAAATGAATTAAAATATTTATCTTACTTATTTCTGAGCATGGCATATGTAATTATTAATTTGTCATTGTTGTTTGAAGTTCTTTTTTTATTTATCCATGCACTTCTAATTGTTATTTTTGTGTTTTGAATTGCTCTAATAGAAATAGGAGTTACATAGCCTATTTACACAGCAGCAGGTGTATTAACGGTAGTCCCCAAACTTTTTCTTTAAGGGACCCCTTTTCTATCATTGAGTAAACTGACAACCCCTGACTTAAATAACATATTTTATGGATATTACCAGTACTGACTGATAAACTATACAATGAACCCAAGTTGTGTACACAATAACTGCAGGTTTGTGTAAACCGAGTGGTTTGGATGAACTTTGAGCTGATTATTTCCTGTGAATCCACATCAGAGGTGAGTTTTCTGATGATTTTAGGAACTTTTTCTCCGTCTGCATTGTGAATTTTCTATTTTTAACAATCATACATGCTCTGTAAGCAAAAAATCTAATTTAGTTTTGATGATATACAGGGATACTGTGTATATTTTTTAAGTTACGTTACACCCATTAAAATCAAGAAGGTCTCTATAATCTGAAAAAGTCCTTTAATATTGATTTTATAATCGCTTCCTGAAATTGGTAGAGACCTCAAACAAACTGAAACATTTATCGTTATATATATTATTGTCATAAAGATTAATATATAGTAGTAATAAAGTCCCAAAGAACCGTTTCCGCCCACCGTAATTTCTACCGTTGGTCTACGAAAAAGTGAAAATAGTGATAGCGAAAATAGTGTGGCTTGTATTTATCTTCAGAAACTGAAAGTTATGCTAATAATCAGTTCAAAAGTCCCTAGCAACTAAGCTAACTAGTAATGAGCATTTGGCATCAAAGGAGCCAGATATTTTTCTCAGGGGACCAAAACAGAGCTAAGAGGAGAGTAAATATTGGGCTTGCATCCATTGTGTATGAATGCCAGTGTTGTCCACAAGTTTAACCAGTACCATAATTAAAGGTCCAGTGTGTAATATGAAGGAGGATCTATGGGAAGAAATATAATATGCATAAATATTAAATAAATGAAACTGGGTTATCATTAATGTTACAGCGGTGCTTTGACAAATGTGAGAAAGGTTCATTAATCTGATCCAGTTCGGGAACAATGTGAGAGTCAGAGGGGTCATGACAGACAGTGTTTAGCTTTTTCCTGTAAGACTCGAATACAGTTTGTGTGTGTCGTTATTCATTACTTAGTTGTGCCTGTGCTCAGTCTCACAGCTCATCTCCTGAGACGGTTCACACAGCAGGGGGGACATCTCACTTACTGTCAGATCACAGTAAAATGCCATACTCTGTTTTCACCCACAGAATAAATAAACTCCATTATGACAACAACTATCTGTAGCTAGAGTGTATTGCAGCTGCAGCTCTGCTTTTGTCTCTGCCTGCGTTATTAAATGAGCAATACATAGTGGCAGTGATAGTTTACTAGCTGATCTGGAGGTCTTTTAAGTATTTAAATTAAGAATAATGAGCCACAAAAATACTTAAAGGGACAGTTCAGCCCAAAATAAAAACTACATATTCTTCCTCTAACTTGTGCTCTTTATCCATCCAGATCGTTTTGATGTCAGTTGCTGAGTTTTGGAGAAATCAGTGGAAGAGATGTCTGCCCTCTCTCGGATATAATGGAAACAGGTGGCACTCGGCTTGTGGTGATCAAAGAAAATACTTCCTACATTAAACTGTTTACAACAAGGTCTGTGGTAATTGTATTTTTTGGGCGATCTGAGCACCATAAGTTGAGTGCCTTCTGGTTCCTATTACATTGTTAGATAAATTCATGTTACCTGATTGTGTTTTCTGCCCTGTGTGGAATTTGGGGATTCTCCCTCAACTAAAGTGAAGACAATATTGTACTATGTGGCCCATGACTCCTATCACACTGCTGTTTTGTACTTTAAGTAGTCAGTTCTACTTTGGATAAAAATAGGTTCATTTATTTACATAAAACATTTACAAAATACATCTTTTCATTGAAATGCAGTAATGTATTATGAGAAATGATGGTTGTAAGAAAGACAGCAGACAGTAGGCCTTTGAGTGTGTCGTTCCGACATGAGGACACAATCATATGTGACTAGGTTTCACTGTTTTCAGATGTAAATAGGCACATGAGTTAAGACCGATCAGTGCTTTTACATTCTCGCTGTTTCGTCTTTTCTGTTTCAGCTCCTGCAGGATCATCAGAGCAGCTCAGGAGCATTTACAAAAAGCTCGACATAGTAACACAGGAGCAGGTAAAACACAGCTAGTAACAAAATGCTTTGTATTTTAGCAGCACATGTAGCTCATTAGTTACATACGGTAAAATCTGTCTAAAGTTATGTTATTGTTTGTTTTTGCATTGTAGAAGAGTGATGCCATTAGTTCCTTATTAAGGCAGTGAAAATAGTTTTGGTCTGTCACTATGTTTACATGCACATTATAACCTGATTACTCTGATTAACAAGATTATGGACAAGGTTTGCTTACCAGCTTTATTTTTACTCGTGCCATTAAATAGGTGGATTTTGGACTTTTTTCCACCACCATTTGTGTTAAAACACAACTTTGTAACCATTTTGAAACATGGGCAAAGTTCGATGGCAAACAGAGCATGCATTGGATCATTGCATCAGCCAATGAAATTTCCCTAATCCAAAGATAAACAAGTTATTTATGTGCATGTGGATATAGTTACCTATATTAATAGCCTACTCAAGGCATTGTTCATTGTGTCCTCACAATGTCCATACAAAGGAATGATGTAGCTTAGATAATAACTAGAACATTATCTATCCCAAAATATTTAATGAAACCAGTATCAAAACTTAAAATATTAATATTCACATCATCTAAAGATCATTGGCATTACTTCTATAAATACTGTGAGTGTTGAAAAACACTGTTGTTCATGTAGAAGTACCCGTACTATGTTTGCCTATCAACAGTGCTGACTCATGTTCAGCTGTAAACTAATTCATATAACAGTCAAGGTCATGTGCCATGGTGCTTTTTTAAGTGCATGTTGTTTTTGCATATCCTTCCCTTACAGTGTCCACTCACAGCCACATCAAGTGGCCTCTTCCGCGCCCTCCTCCCACTGATAACACCTCCAGTGTGTCCACAGTAACAAGACAGTTCAAGTGTCTTTAATGTATGTCTGAGTCTGATGACAGACGCCTCTCTCGCCTCTGCAGGAAACGAGAGTCCGTCCATGAAGCGAGTCCATCATCTCAAGACTCGAACTCGCTGTCGCTGCTAACGGAGATGTCCGGGGTGGAGGCTCCCATTCCTCTGCGCTCGGTCTCTGTGCTACAGTCACTGGCCTCTGGGCTGCCCAGGTGGCGAGGAGAGGTAGGCAACAAGTGGGGGTGATGACGGCGCTCCTGATGGGAGCCGTCACGTGAACTCTCGGAGGGCAGGAGAGAGGGGTCCTGCTGCATTCTGAGTGGTGGGAGAGATGAGAGAGATGAGGGTGAGGTCCCACACTGGAGTCTTACAACAGTACATGTGGCAGAGCTGCCCGTCAGGCAGAGGCACTGGCAGTTTGCCTCATATAACATCAGTTTTTGCCTTTTAACAGACCTGCTGACCGGTTAAGTCAATGTGATCATGTGTAATTTGCAACATACCTGTTCTTTGCGGATGCAGCGCGGTCTCTTTGTCGGCGGTTCTTGAACCAGTTGCCGACCTGTGTGGGTGTGAGTCCTGTGGCCTGGGCCAAGTGGCGTTTCCTGGACGGGTTGGGGTAGGGGTCTTGGAGATACCACTCTCTCAACAAACTGCGAGTTCTTTCCTGGAGAACAAATAGAAATACATTGAATATTTAGGCTACCATGCCATAGCACTTTAAAACGACACCATATGGTGTTTTGATATCATCCTATTAAACCACAATAATCTTATCACTCTCATATGATGCTCAGTATAATCGTATTAGACTGGATTTATAAATAGATGATTACAATCTACATTTGAAGTATACATAACAATGTATATCCACTAAATGGGATCATGTTAAGGGGCTTAATAGACTGTTGGAGAGACTATCCCTCCTGAGGGTTGGAATTAAAGATTAACTACACTCATGAGCAGTACTTCACCCCTCCACATGAGGGAGATCACACACATAAACACACACCCAAGAAGCAAGATGCATGCTCCTGTGCTTTCTTACATACAATATTTTACAAAATTAATCTTTGAATCATTTTTCCTCCCTGGTTTGTAGTTCATTTATTTGTGTGAAATGTATCAAATAAGTGGTGTTATCATACATTTAGGTGAATAAATGCAAAGTGTTTGCTTCCAAAAGAACCACTAATGATCTTGTGACACTGACAAATGAAAATGTTTCAGTATTTTTGGTATACATGATGGTGCTCAAGACACATTAGGCACATCAGGACATTACAGGTTATTAGTTAGTGACACCATTAGTGGTTTCTAACAGGAGGACTCTGCAGGTGATGTACTGAAAATGTTGGAAAAACGTGGAATAAATTTTTCTCTACATTGGCTTCTGGATAGCAGATAGGTGGCTCATATAGACTCCTGCATGCCTGTTCTCATAGGCAGTTAAAGTGTTAATATTTGAAAAGAGTAGCTGCTAATTAAAGATCAGATTAAACTTTATTGGACCATGTGGGGAAATCTGACCTTTAGTAAATGTTAGAGCAAAGAACACATGGTGCCTACAGAGAAATAAAACATGTGACATCGGCCTCCTCGTGTGTGAAGTTATTTAAAAACGAGGGATAAATATGAGAATTATAAAAGATGCATTCACACTCTAGATACACTGGATAAAACTAGTATTTATTCGGCAGAAGGCAGGAGGATAACCACGGCTCTGACCATTATCATCTTAAGAGCTCAAAGACTGCTTGATGCAGCAGCGTCAGGTTAAAAAGCACCGTCACAAGAGAGCAACTGATGGTCACGTTTCCAATGTCACAATGCCATTTCATGTCATTACATTAATGTCGTTAATAAATGTTATAGCTACTGTCTGATAAATAGATTATTCGCCCAAACACGGGGAACACGTGGGTTGTACCGGGGTCCCATTACACCCTGTCACCGACAGCCATGTGGTTGTTAAATGATATCACAACATGTATCTCTATGGTGTTTACCTTAAAGCAATGCGTCTTCTGCTCGCCGTCCCAGATTGTGCGGGGCAGGGGGAACTTCTTGCGGATCCGGTACTTCTCCACCGGGCCCAGCGGCCGCCCCCGGAGCCTCTCCGCCTCCCGGTAGTGCGCGTCCAGCCACAGGTCTTGAAGCTTGGCGTGCGACTCGCGCGTAAACCGGTGGCTCTGGAGGATCTGGTAGAGAGCGTCAAAGTTGCCACCGTGGAAGGCGACCAGCGCTCTCGCTCGCATCACGGACTCGTGTCGGTTCAGCGCTTCCCCGGCGGATCCAGGGACGGCGGCGGGCAGGGACCAGAGGAACCTGCCGAGGCGCTCGATGTCCCCGGTCTCCTCCAAGTTCTCGCACACCCGAGCGACCTGGTCCGGCGTGAACATCGGCAGTGGGAACATCTCGGCTTGTTGCTTCTCAGTTGCTTACCGAAAACAGTTAGGAAATGTTGACAAGGCGCACGAAATGGTGTATCCAACCGTGCGTAAAAGCTCCGTGCGCACGCTGCTCACTTTTTTTTGTGTGACAAGTTTATTGACACTTGCAGCATCTATCTGCTGCCTCTCTTATTTAACGGCCTTTCCTGGTATATGGAGTAATGTTTCAGAGAAGCCGGTGCGCATCCGCGGCGGCTCTAGGTTTCCAGAGTAGAGCCGAATAAAGAAAGAGGACAAGGAGTCAAACTGTATTTATAGCTAGATACAATTAGCATCTCTGTAGTTGTTTTGAGAAGGATTATACGTCCCGGCCATTAGCCTCTTAGTGGGGGGTAGTGTGTACAGAGGTGACTGGCTGATCAGCTTGTTTGGCTTAGCCTGAGGATACATTGACTGCCAGGATGACTGCAGTGAGCAAACAAGGATGGATAGGTTATTTAATAGGTCGGATCTGATGGAGTCCTGCCCCAGGAGGAGAGGACGAGGCGAGTAAATATGGAGTGAGAAGTTACGCACGGCAGAAAACAGTGCCAAGGAATTAGGTCTTGTTTGTCTTTAATAAATAAGTTACTTCAAATGAATATGAAGTTAGTCTGCCGCACACTTGGACGGCACAATTAAATCGCGGTGCCCGTGGTCATGAAAATTGGTATCACATGTGCGTCGACATTTGGCCGAGGGAACATGTCAGGACACAAAGCTGTGGCTATCCTCGACCAGTTAATACCCATGTAATTAAAACAGACATGGTTGCACCTACGGGTTATCCTCCGCGACCTCTTGCCAGGCCAAGACATAATGAAAACGCCCCTAGACATCGATATACGGCAGAGCAGCTCCAGGACAAGGAATTAATGATCTGCTGCTTGGTTCAATCCTTCTGATCTCAGTAGCTCATTAATCAGTCTAAGGATAATTTTCTTATTAATCAGGTTAAGGATCCTGTAAGCATCTGTCAACTATAATGCAAACATGTTACACTTCATCTGCCCATCATAGCCTAGAGGAAAATGAGTCACTTTTTCCAAACATCAGTGGACCAAAGCATGAATAAAGAATGTTAAGTTATAAATATTAATTTCCCCTATAGCCTACAATGAATGCTTCTGTAGGCAGACATAGATTAGTCCCTGGAGGGAATATGAGGCTTTATATAAAGGTTGCAGTCAGGTGAAGGATCATCTGGTTTAAAATAAGGTGAAGGGGCTTAAAATCTGTCTACAAATCTGTCTAGAATTCAGATATGAGCCTGCCAGACACACAGAACACTGATATATGAACACCAGGAGTCCCAAAGTGTGTATGCCAATAGAACATGTGAAATAATCCCCCCAACAAAAACAACAATAAACATTAAATTATGTTTCAGAATTACAGTAGTTTGCCTAATTAACATACTTTTTCATTGCATTTGCATGCTTTAAAGGATGTAATTACAGACATTTCAGCTCAAATGAAAATGAACCGTTGAACTGTGTACTACATTAATTTGATACATTTGTTCCATAATTTGGAGAAAAAAAATATTAAAATGTAAAGTTTCTAAAAAGTATCAAATTAAAAGTCATCTTAAGACATTTAATCACATATTAGTTGTGTTTGTCAGGATAAAATGTTTTCAGATTTTGTAAATATTTACTGATGAAACATACAAATATGTTACATATTAAGTATTTTCCTGAATGGATATACAGTACGTGCAGTGAAATCTTTTTTCATTATTTAAACAATTAGATATTTGGTTTCATAGGTTTTATTCTTTCTCAGCATTGTAATTGTGACTGGGGCTTCACCTAAAAGCCTTTTGCCTAATCACCAGTTATGTGAATTTTGTCAATGCTGAAGTTTTAGAAAAGCAAATTAATATAAAAAATATAATTTATATAACTGCTCTTTGAAAATCTGTATTTATAGTCATTTTTGCATAAAGATGTTTTGTCAGGGATATTGCTAATATATATTTTATGTCAAATATTTTACTTACTGTTTAGTCTTATATATATATTTATGTATATGTATTTTCTTTTCTGACAATCATTAAAATCTGTCACAAAATTCAATATAAAACAGAAACAACTGTCAAACCAGAGCCCAAAACCTAAACATGGTCAATTATATAAGATTGAGAAAAGCAGCAAAATCTCCCATCTGAGCAGCTAAATAAGCAAATATTTACTAACTTCAAGCAATTAATCAATTAACAGAATTGTTAATATTGTGTCAGTCAACTAGTCAACTAATCCTTTCAGCACTCGACATGGAGGAAGCTTTTGAAATCTGCTGTTCGGTGGAGTTTAGGGTATAGAAAGCGTGTAGAATTACTTTATAAGCAGTAGGCAATCATTTGATACGTGTTAGATCCTAAATCTAGATTAAAATACCAGGTGGGATTGGTCGGCTAATGGAAAGGGGGGTAGGTGTGATTGTGTGTGTGCACAGAAGGGGAGAAATGAGCTCAGTGAAGATCATGCTCACAGCTAATCTAACCCTTCCAAGTTTCAGACACTTCGCGCCACTGACCACCACCACACACACACACACACACACACACACACACACATACACTCACCTTCATTACCAGAAATCCCCCGACCCAATCTGTTTAACACTTTGAGAGCAGACTGAACCAAAATCTGCTTAAGCACTCCCAAGCCGTTAGAACAGGATGAATGATAAGATGGTGATGGGATGAACAGATGATGTATGTGTTTGTAGAAGGATGGAGGGGGTCGGGGGGTTAATTATACTCTTTGTAAAATGGAAAATCTTGACATCACTGATCACACTGTTGTCACTGATATATTAATTACTACCTTTAAGGCAATTATTATTAATAATTTACCCCGTGCTTCTGTGTTATAATAATTTAAATTGTGTATTTTTCTCATATTTTTGTTAGCATAGCACCACCACCGTCCACAGCTACTGTTGAATGATACTCAGCGGCATCTCAGGCAGACTTTTATTTTGAAATTAATACCAAAAATTGGTTGTACTTTGAAATAAAAGAGAATTAGAGCTGTCAAACTTATTTATTTGAATCCTAAATTAGTATTTAATAGATTCTACAAATGTTTTGTGCCATGGATGTATTGAAATATCAGGTGTTAGGAACTGCAGCAGCTCTTTTTATTTCTGACTGTTAAGATGGTCACTCTGTAAGAGTTTGTTGTCTTTCACAACCTGCCTGATGTCATCCTGACCGACATGCAGGAACAACAATGGAAACAAACAATGGCGCAGGTATCCCACTTTGTTTGGAGTTTGGAAAAGCTTTAAAAAAAGAAAGAAAAAAACAACCACATCCTTCCTCTTTCACTTCACCATGTTTCAGCTGACGAGCGCTCTGTGCTCTCTTGTGATCAGATATTGTGGAATTTGCCGTACTCTGCGAGAGAAGGCAAAAATATTCTGATATTCCTGCTTGTCTTTTTGTCAGAATGTCGTGAGAGGCAGTGTCAGCTGTCATAGACCATGAACAACCCACAAAGAAAAAGTGGTACTTTTCACTGACAGAGTACGGTACGGTTTGAACCCGACCTGGTTGGCAGGAACAGTTCTGTGTGGAGTTCTCCGAGGTTCCCTTCACGCAGGTTAGTTGAATTGGAAAGCCAAGATTGCTTGTATGTTTGTTTGTTTGTCTTTTGCTGTATCTGGTCAGACTGAGCCACACTGAGACCAAAACTCCTGGTACAATCAGGTGTTCCTCATCAACTCATGAGATAAAAGAATATTCATGTTTACTATCAGGAAGTTGACCGAATCTAAATATCCATGGAGAACTTCCATGATTCCCAACAGTACTTAAGTTGTTATGAAACAATGTACTACACATTCATATAACTTCCGTGTATCCTAAACACTATGATTACCAACATGTTTATCCTTCCATTACTTATACCCTGTAGAGGCTTCTTCATTAGTGAAGTTCATAAAGATGATCTGATGATGAAAAAACATGGTAAATACGACAAATTTGTGTGATATTTCCCAACTTTATGAATGGCAGAGAATCAATTGATGCACACAGTGAATTACAATACACTGAGGGCTGCTAATGGTACAGCGGTTGTGTCCTTCAAATTCACGCAGAAGAAGTTCTCCACTGGTTTTGTAGGAGCATTTAAGGAAAAACCTTGCCGGCCTCTTTAACACACACTTCAGGGGATCCAGTCCCTGAATTAGGATGCAGCTGTAATAGACTCTGTATCCCCGCCTCTTGCCGAATACATATAGGTTTTTAGCTTCCTGTCAGTCTGCGACTCTGATCAGGTTAAACAAGTAAAGAAAATGGCTGGAAATGTTCTGTAGCTCAAGTGGGGACATTTTTATAGACTCAAACGTCCAGTTTCCCTATGATGTGCTTTTAACTATAAAGAGAGCTATTTAAGCTGTCAAAAAAAATGTTTTGTCTTGTTAAAGACAAATGTTAAACTACAAAATTGTTAAACCTGTTAAACCACAAATTAAAGTGTGTGCACACGCACACACACACACACACACACACACACACACACACACACACACCACACACACACACCCACACACACACACACACACACAAACACAGCTTCACTGGCTGGACCCATAGATGGTGGAACCCCACTTGGCATAATTAATTAGTGGCTTAAACAGAAGCCTTCTGCTTAAAAAATGACCTGTTGATTTTGCCAACAGGCGAAGCGGGGGGCATGCATCTGTGTGTGTAGGTGTGTGTGTTTGTGTGTGTCTGTGTGTGTGTCTGTGTGTGTGTGTGTGTGTGTGTGTGTGTGGAAAGGGGGGTATTACCATGCTGTATAAATCCACACCAAGCACAATTAACAAGCAATTGGGAGGAGAAGTAATTAGTATTATCTGCTTATCACTGTCAACCCCTATTCTAAGGAAAATGGGTTAAAAAACACACAATGACACACATACACACACTCACACACTCACACACATACACACTAATTCCCTCCAGGCAAATGTGTAAGGGCTAATTACAAGCTCATTTGCAACTCAATAGCAGTATCCTCTCAGACAGGTCTATCCCCCATGCGTCCTCCCCTCCCCTCGTCCCCAACATACTGTGTGTTAGCTTTACCTCTCAGCCCGCGCCAGGGGCACTCACCAAACAAACGACAAAAAATGCTTCCCCATCCGTCACTGTGTGGTGAGAGGACAGCCAGTGAGAGGTAGATCTCTTGATTCAATAGACACAGGTGATATAAAGTAAATGTGGACTAAATTTAGAGCAAACTGTATTGGGGAGTTTCATTACAACTTTAAAGAGGTGTTTTACAGTTTCAGCCTATAACATATAAATA